GCAGGTTAAAGGAGGTAAATGGAATGGATGATCATATTACAATTCCTGGTTGCTTTTTTCCATATGTTGCATATTGCTTTTCCTGTTGTACAAGGTATCTATAATTAGTAATACTATTAGTCACCTATACCTGTATATTCCATGGTGTTGCATTACACTGATTGCGTCTTGTTGCCTGACTAGATGGAGGAGAAATGATAAACATGGGTTCATCTTTAACATCTATTAATTTGCATTAATAACAATTGTAAGATAACAATAGGAGCCCACTGACTGCGACCCCTTAATGAAACAAGGGTTGTTTTTACAAAGCTTAAAACATCAAAAGATGCAAAATTCTTAAACATGTCAATAACAGAAAGATTTATTTGACTGGCTAGTTCCTTGTACAAGATAAACTATTTATCTTAGCTTAACATCATCCGATAAAGTATGTGGCAATAAAAAAAATTTTCTAAAGAAAGCATTCCAATTTAATTTTAAATTTGAAGCCAAATTGGTTGACTTGTCAAAATTTTGGCAATAATTGATACTGAACTAAATATCATAAGATAAGCTCTATTCACATGGAGTTGGTGGTATGTAGTTATATAAATTTTGAACTTTCTACGAACCCAGCCAAAGAGATATGGAAAATGTTTCAAAGTTTGTTTTAATGCAGTTAGAAATGTTCATTCTTTTCAAAAACGAACAAATTTGAGAATTGAAAACAACACCAGAGGTGTCTAATAATCTTTGATATTTGATTCTAATACTAGCAACAGAATACAGTAATATCAGTTGGACAATCTATTTAGTAATCAAATAGATAGTGACAGGAAATGAGTATCTAATAATAACCAAGAAAACAAAAAGACTTACAAACATGATACAAGTTTTAAGACTTGCTTCTAATTCGTTGAAAATCACTTATTAAAATATGTAACGAACTTTTCAGGGTTGAAGTCTTTGATTTCATTGGCTGTTTTGGTTTCAATCAAATGTGATAAAGAGAGAATGGGCTTGATGGATTTGTCATTAGAATGATGAACAGAGCTGGTAGATGCACACCACATCAAGATTATGACAGATACAGATGCAAAAGGTAAAGCTTGTTTATAATCCTTTGTTTATTGGAGTGAATTTTATGGTCATTTAGTGTTTGAAATATTTTGAGCTATATACTATATTTACATTGTATCTCTGGAAAAGATGAATGAAAACATAATCAGAAAAAATTTACGTTTGAGAGTATCACGTCTGCAAAGTTGATATGTTTACATAAAAAAAATATCAGGCATGAAAAAAGGAATTTATTTTATACATTTTTTTAAACTTCCTTTCGAGAACACTATATTTTTCTCCACAATGTCAGAGTAGAATCAATGATGAGCCAAGTAAGAGAAAGAAAGCAGAATTTGTGATTCAAAGTTTTAACATTTTTATTAACATTTGGTGATAAAAAAAAACATGCAGACTGCAAACTATTTTGTGAATGATAACCACTGTTGACAGTGACACGTTGAGAAATTCGCTGAAAGCACATATTTTTGTGAACAGCTGCCATATCTGTTAATGAGGAAATATTTGGCCTATATTTTTACTGGGTGATCATCTACATGCATACTCGCAGTATGCAGGACAGACAAGCACATACTCTGTGGTTAAAAGGACACAAGAGCATATGCTATATATACTGGGTGGACACCCCCTACATGGAGACCCATCGGTGGAATACCATACATTTTAAAATTCAGGTCAAAGAAACTTACAACAGCAGGTGGTAGGGTCCTATACTGCTCAATAATAGATCTTCCAGGTCCCTTGCTCTCTCAAAAATCAAATTAAAACTTCCATGAGATAAATAATTGTAAACTATTAACCGTCATTTAATTTTACTTTTGTGACTTTGAGCTATTTCATTGGGTTTAATTTTACATTTTTTGGCAGGGAAAATGAGTTCTATTGTTTAGCGTGTTCATGTGAATTTAACAAATTTTACTTATTGGCAAAATTAAAAAAAACAGCAAATAATTATGTTTTCAGTATTACTGCAAATGAAAGAAGGTTGGAAAATCTTGTATGTATGTTTGACAAGAGTTGATATAACGTGGTTATAAAATGACTCTAGTTTTACAAGCCATAATAAATAAGACAAAACCATGCTTTACGACATGAACTACTTAACTGGTTCCGTAAATTTCACTTGCCTCATGGTAAAACACAAGCTTGATTTTGTTTGTTCATTTCATTGACAATTGAATGATAATAACAGTGAAGATTTCACAAATCATTATATCCAACATTTCAAGCATGGTAATTGTTCAATTTATGGTATCTTTGGACATTTAGTACTGGTTGCATTCAGTCAATCAAATCATCAGGAAACATTGGAAAATATTGCAATTTTAAATAATATGCTGGTGAGTTTTTAATTTGTTTTTAGCTCCGCTGTCGACTTTGTCGAGCGGAGCTTATCATATGAGTGATTGTCCGGCGTCGTCCGTGTCAGTGTCAATGTTTTACTTTTTTAACTTCTTCTTGAAAACTACAAGCCTGAATGCTTTGATACTTGATGCATATGTACCTTGGGTAGACCTCTTATAGATTTGTTCATTTCATGATCATATCTTCAATTCTCTAATTTTGGTGAATATTTTTGTCATTTTTGGTAAAAAGTGATATTTTCGACTTCTTGTTAAAAACCACAAGTCCAATTGCTTTGATATTATTACATATATAGGTACTACATGTGGACCTCTCTCAGAATTGTTCATTTTGTAATGATATCTTAAATTATCTAATTTTGGTGAATATTTTTGTCATTTTTGGGAAAAAGTGATATTTTCTCCTTGTTAAAAACCACAATCATTTATGGTGAAAAATGATATTTTTGAATTCTTGTTGAAAACAGCAAGTCCCATTGCATTGATACTATGCATATTGTTCATTTTCTAATGATACCTTCTGTTCTTTAATTGAAATGTGCATTGCTAACAGCTAACAGCTATCTCAGTCGAGAGGCTGCTTGTTTGTATTAAGATTATATCAATGCCACAAAAACAATTTTATAAATAGTGCTCTTTAAAGGATGATTAGAATCAACAAAAGTTCTCCTAAAACATTTCCCATTCTGTTGTATGTGGTGCATTTCAACTACCGAGGGGGTAGTACACATAATTGAAATTGCAAAAAGTCAGATTGACACAAATGATGATGAAAAGATAACCCTTTTTTTTGTTTGGCCTTATAATTATATCTATAAGCGTGCGGAAATCTGTCAATTTGTAAGATTTATGTGTAATCGATTGCCAATATCTCATGTGTTATAAAATTGTATAAAATCTGGCCATTCATTTGAAATGCCTCCCAATTTTTTACACTGTAAATGATTGACAATGGTTCTCTATTGACACCATATTCATTAAATCAATAAAATGCACAGATAAAGGTGGATTTTAGATAAGATTTGGAAATATGACAGAACAACTTCTGTTTTTTTACGTTCAAATTGATGTGAAACAGTTAATCCACTATCCTATACCTCTTTGCAATGAGAAACAAAAATGTGTAATGTTTATTTTAAAATAAATCCTTCTTCATTGCAGAAAACAGTTTTTCTATTCGAGGTGAAATTGTGATTGATATAGTTGAATGTTATGTTTTGTTTTATTTGTTACCAAAATACATAAAATTGATCATCAAAACTTAAATCTATAAACGCCAAACAATGTCATTTCCAGAATATAAAAAGCCACGACTTCCTTGATGTTCTTTAAAAGCATAGTTTATCTTTGCATTCAGAGTTGCTAGTACATGTACACTTCTGCTAGTAGCTAGTTCTGTATATGTAAGACAATATTAAATTTTGCTTTGACATAAGAAAGACTAGTTTCAGCATAATGCTCATTTTACAATATTCACGTGCAATTAACATAAACATAAACCCCCATATCCATTCCTTAATGATAACTATAAGGATAGAACATTGGACAAAAATATGTAATAAAACACTGGTTCAGTGATGTTTTGTGCTCCAAGGCGCCAGGCTAGCGCAATATTTTGACCCTGGTTAACACAGTCTGCAATATTTGATGACTGTATCTGTTAAAAATGTGAACATATTTGATGATCTCAAGTCAAATCTTTCATGGTCATACCGAGGTATGATTATCAAGTTCCCTACTAGCAAAGCTTTGCAACTGGGCAGAATTTAATGCATACTGCAATTCTGCATACTGCAATTTTAAATGCACTATTATCTGTTTGATTTAGTGGTGCAGATGCAACTAAAAAACTTGAAATAAAACATATTGAAATGATCTTTGTTTTGCTGGTTGTGAAAATTGAAGAAAAGATAATAAGCAGCCATAATAACAGTTGATTTATTATTTTTTTGTTATTATGTCTTAACACCAGCATCTTTTGAATTTTGCATGATCAGGAACTGAAGAAAACATTTTTTCGAAAGTTGAACTGATTTGTGATATAGAGTAAAGATGGACTGGTCTGAAACAGACGGACCCTCAAGGGAAACTGACCAACAAGATGAACTGGCATGACACAGATTGACCCACAAGATGGACTGGGCTACGAGACAAACTGACCTGTAAGACAGACTGACCCACAAGAC